TTCCTTCCATTCGGCTGGACAATCCATTTGTAATGCTTTCCTAGCTAATGTATGGCTAACAGAGTTGTTTTCCCTTTTAGTGAAGGCAAAACAACATTCGTCAAAACTGTATTTCAGTTTCCTAATGTCAGAAATCACAGTGCACCTAATCGCTTCATCATTCTTACTGTTAATATCATTGACAACCTGCAAACAATCAGATTCAAATTCCACTCGTCTCCACCCATTCCGTTTCGCCACCAGCATCGCATGCCTGAGAGTCTTTGCCTCCTCCATTTTTGCATGGGAACAACGTGAGAACTTGAAAATTTTCACATTTTTAGGCATTATTTTATTTTTGCCTATATTTTTATACTTGCCTTTAAACTATTTAAAGTTTCTATGCATTTTTATAAGCAAGTACAGTTTTAAATCATTTTCCTAGTATAGGTTAGTGTACGTTAAATTTGAAACACATTATAGACGTGGGACCTGCTAGTGCGATAAAATTTTGGTGATTAAGTGATTTTTGTACTAAGTGTTATTATTTTACAAGGTGCTAGGAAATGATTAGAGGTTAGCTAGATGGATTAACCATTGAAAGAAAGAAAATAAGCTTTAAACACTAGAAAGACCAAGTGTCACTACCTCATTGGATGTTAGACTTTTGACTAAGCTTATTTAACTTTCCTAAATCAAAAATTCCTTCATTTTTCTTGCTTCTTGGCCAAACCACTTGAGGAGAGGAACAAGAGAGAGTTCTTCAATTTTAGCTTCCAAACTTACTCAAATCTTGAGTTCTAGCTAACTAAATTGGAAACTACACCATACAAGTGCTCAACTAGGAAGTTTAAAGGAGTTGGTGGAGTGATTGTGGGAGAAAAGATACTAAGTTACCATTTTTCTTGAGTTTCCAAAGTATTTTGCCAAGAACTTCCTCTTTACTTCAATTAATTGCTAATTAGTGACTTATAGTTGTTATAGATGTTGTTTTGTAGAAGATTTCATGGGTTGAGTTAAAGTTATGTTAAATTTCAGTTTTAGGGTTTCAAATCTGCCCTGTTTTTGCTAGGGCTGCAAACGAGTCGAGCCGAGTCGAGTTTTGAGCTAATCGAGCCGAGCCTTAGCTAAATTTTATCAAGCTCGAGCTCGAGCTCGAGCTCGACGAGCTGGCAATTTTCGAGCTCGAGCTCGACTCGAATCAAGTCGAGCCGAGCTCGAGCTCGAGCTCGAGCTCGAGCTCGAAAAAAATAAAAAAAAATTATTTTATTTTTTTAAAAAATAAATAATATAATATTTTTTCTGAATAAATAATAAAATATTAAGGATATATCCGTAATTTCACTATGAAAATAAAAAATAAAAAATATATATATATAATATACGTAATTTTATTATTAAATAAAAATAAAAATAAAAAAATATATATATATATTCAAGCTCGATTCGTTTGCAGCCCTAGTTTTTGCACTGTGTATTCGTCCTTGAGAGAGACCGAATCAGCCCTTACTCAACATGAAAGTTGTTCATATTTGAGTTAGCTAGCTACTGATAAAATTTCAGCTCAATTGGAGCACTGTATCTTATGAAATGATCAAAATACCCTTGACTGCCCACAAGCCTTGTTTCACGGACAGTTTCTGTCCTCTCTATGATTTCGATATTTGACCATGAAAATGCATGATTTGGGTTTGGAGGTCTTCATAAGGAATGCAGGTATATGTCTTGGCTTCGAAACGCTATAAGATTCGTTTCAATCTGATAAGTGTAGTTTCAGTTGTGGTTGTTATACCGAAAGGTGTTTTATCGCCTATGATTTGTATGTGAAATTGTGGTTGAATTGGGATAAGATTTGGTGTTTGATTGTTGGATGGAAAGTGAAGAAATTAAGGGGAAATGCTGTCCGTTTATTTTCTTGAAATTTGAGTGAGTAAAAGTGATATTGGAAATGTGATTTTGTGATACTTTCGACTTACTTTGCTTGGACATACTTAGGTCCACTTTAATGGTGTTATTTGAGTTAGATTTCATTTGAACTTGTACATTTTCGCATGGTGAATGTGACAACCATTTTAAACATGATACTTAGATACAAATGTCAAGTTTTGAATTTCAAATGTTTACTTATTTTCTTTTCGAAACAAAGAAAAGTTGTATAGGGTTTCTCGACCGCAAAACCTAATTTTATCAAACGAGACTTTAGGTGTGAATTTAGGGTTTGTTTATCTTCCTTTTCCTATGATTTTACCCAAAACACTTGTTATACGTTATTTCTTTGCATATGTGTTATTTGCGAGCCAAACAAAAAGCTTTGTAAAAATTTGAAACAAATGCTTTTTCATATCCAGCCGTGTATCCAGCCAAGTCTTGGCCGGATTGCTGGCCGGATTGACAGGGAAAGAAGAAAACAATTGGGATTGCTCACTGCCTTGAATCCGGCCGAGAATCTGGCCGGATTGTGACGTGACACTGTTCATTTGTTTTTCGCGGGAATTTTCTAAAAACTTTTTTTTTAGTATAGTTTTGTGGCTGGTTTGGGAAAACTCTTAGTTACTCATGTTCTTTAGTTTAAATGTACTCTTTTCACTTTAAAACTCATATTTATATATTGTACTAGTATGTATTCGAATTTTCTTTGAATCACTTAAATCTTTGATGATTGAAGCATAATGTGTTCTTTTGATTATATTAGGGTTTCTTGGTGATTGAGCGTATCACCTGGAAGAATACTTTGGACGTTCTTTTGTTTAAATAGGTGAGTATTGTTTGTTTGTTATATTTCCATTAACGATATGATTTGTTATGGATATTTGATTAAATGATAAATGTTTGTTAAAAATAAATTTTGCTAGACGAGTATATACTTTATCGCATTCGACCTAAATGAAATGTGAAATTTTCAATGTTTAAGTGATTAAATGTTAGTTGTACATGAATGTAAGTCTTTTGACTAAACTGGGCCCTTGCCATTCGTTGCCGGTCGACTCGAGTCAGAAGCGGACTCGGTCGGGCGATTTGGTGACCCTGGGTTAGAGCTGGCAATTTGTCCCAAGTCCCAATGGGCTACCCATGCCCAAAGGAACTTTGGGTGGGATGGGTATTATAATTTGGTATTGGATTTAAGTTGGGACACATCCCAACTATACCCATTAATGAATGGGAAAGGATAGAAAATACTTGGGTACCCATTGGGCTCAAATGACAAGGGCTCCGTTTGAATTAGTTATTTTTGGGGGGTGTTTTTGAAATATTTTATTGTAGCAGTGTATATGAAAAATTTTTACTATAAAATTTTTTTGAAATATTTGATATACTAATATGGATGGGATGTTTCTTGAGTTATTGTATATTACTGTAACATTGTATTTGAAAAACTTATTTTTTGAAAAAATAGTCAATCCAAACGGAGTCTTAGATTCAAAAATTATCTTTAACAATTTTTATAGTCATACTAACGAATATAATCTAGTAGCCTTCCTAGTCATTATCCATAAGAATTTCCAGCATTACAGTTAGTTTAGACCTATCATCCATAGACAATGATGAGGATAAATATTCAACATCCTAAGGACCTTGGCCATCTTGATATATGTTGGAATATGACTGTATATCTATCTTTTCCTTTATTTGTTAATCCAATTTTTTATGGGAATCTTGAGTATAAAGCACTTGCATGTTTATTTAATAAAACTAAAAGAAATTTAATAAATCAAAAATATTTAAATTATATAAAAAATAAAAAATGAATTAAAGGAAAAAAAATATGTAGAAAATGAATTTGGGTATTGAGCGGGATCAATCTAAACCCATCTCAAAATGATCCCGCTCAAGTTAGTCCCAAAACACATATGGGTAAGGTTGAGCCCAAACCCATATGACTCGGTTCCATCTCAAATCCAAGCAAGTCCCGCCCATCCCGCCCATTTTGCCACCTCTACCCTGGGTGAAAGTTTGGTATACTCGAATATTATCACGTTGTCGGGTGAAGTCTGGCCAATGTCCAGAAAGAGGAGAAACGAAATGAATGAACGAAAGGAGGTTTTCAATTACAAATGAAATTTTACATATTGAAGGAATAAGAAAATGAAAGGAGAAGGAAAAAACGAAAGGCTCCACGTGAGCATGTATCCTTTTAATGAATGTATTATCATTGCTTCATAGTGTAAATGTTTCCTGGATTACTTGTTATTACATGATTAATATCTTTGTTTAAGTTGATTATGTGTCTGGAACCTCACTGAGTTTTCAACTCATTCCATTAGTTTTGTTTTCCTTAACAGGGGACGCGAGTAAGGACGAGAGATCTGCATAGACTAGCCTAGTCTAATTCTTTTGAATTTTTGTAATGGGTCTCGCCCTAGCGCTTGGTAAGGGTTGGATGTATGGAGAATTGAGAACCTTTGTATATTTGAGTTGTATCCCTTGTGAGATAGAAATGTATATAAATATATGTTTTAAGTTTGGAATTATTGTTACACTTGTTCTGGTGGTTTTATTTTCATTTTTACTTGAGGTGTATGAGTGAGTCCCGGCGAGAGTTGGGCAAGCGATCCGCCGAACCATTTGGTTCGCCTTAGGGAAATGTAGGGCCGTCATAAACAGCTTGGACTTGGCACTGCCCATGCCCCCTTCACCTCTCATTGCCAGTCCCTTACAATCAGTCCCCAACCTGCCTTATCCCCATCCTGGTCTAGAGCTGTGTCTGAATTGATTTTTATCCAATCCTCCTTCGGTCCTCTCCAGCTACACATGCCTTCCGTATTATGCCTGCCATCTCCCCCCACTTCCTCCTTGACCTCCTGTGCTTACTTGTATTCGCACCACTCCAACACTGCTTTTCTAATGACTACCATTGGCTCTCTTCGTTTGTTTTTAAATTGCATTCCATTCCGTGATTTCCAAATTTGCCAGAGCAGGTGTACAGTGAGCTCAATCCGTTCCCTCCCTTTCTCCTCCCTCACCACATCCTTCATTTCCTCCCACCACAACTAGAATTTACTCCTAAGGTTCTTCAGCCCGTCCTAGTCAAGTGGAGCAGCTTTCCAGATCTCTTGGGCATTGTTGCAGAAGAAAAACAAATGTTCAATAGTTTCTGGGTTTTCCCCACAACATTTGCACAGAAAATTTCCTTTTGAGCACCTATCCATAAGCAGTGCATTTACTGGGAGAATGCCATTCAAGCATCTCCAAATAAAATGTTTCAGCTTTGGCTTAATATTCATATGCCATACAGAGTTCCAGCTCAAAGTTGCACAGCTCACACTACAGCCAGGTTCTGCCCGTGTCCTTCTTTGTTCCTCCTTCCTCTTCCTAATTTTAGCTAACTTATACCCTGACTTCACCGTATAAACACCAGTACTAGATATTACCCAGTATATTCTATCTTTCATAGGCATAACACTAAGTGGGATCCTAAGTACCTTCCGCCTAGTTTCCTCATCAAATATCCTAGTAATCACCTCCATATCCCACTCCCCATCCTTTATAAGCTCGTTCACCCAGTAGACCTTGACCTCCATCCCCTCCCTAGCTTTGACTCTTCCATAATCAGTATCTAGAAGCCACCTATCATCCCAAATATGTATAGTCGCCCCATCCCTCACTTGCTTCCTCATCCCCTCCTCTAACAGATCCTTTGCTTTCAAGAGACTTTTCTAGCACCACGAATCAGTCCCATTGCTCTCGGTCTTCCAAATAGAGGCTCTCTTAAAGTACTTAGCTTTCATTAACTTGCTCACTAGTAGGTTGGGCTTAGTCAAAATTCTTCATAGTTTCTTAGCCAACAAAGCCAAATTAAACTCGTGTAGATCCCGGAAGCCTAGTCCCCCATCCGCCTTTGCTTCTAACATCTTCCCCCATTTCATCCAATGTATCTTCCGTTCATCCTCCTTTTGTCCCTACCAAAATTTTCCCATTTTTGAGCAGATTTCCTTACATAGGACTTTTGGCAATAGACAACAGGACATCATATAAGTAGGTAAGGCCATCACCACAGACTTAAGTAGCACCTCTTTACCCGCTTGGCTCAGAAGTCTCTCCTTCCAACCCTTTAACTTCGTAACTGTTTTTTGCCTTACGAAATCAAACACTCATCTCTTGGATCTTCCTATGACCAATGGTAACCCCAAATACCTACTTTGCCCCACCTGCCGCATCCCTTGCAATTCATTCATTATCTCTGTCCTTTTCCCCACAGCCACATTCCTGCTAAAGAAACACGAGGACTTCTCAGCATTGATCATCTGGCCCGACACACATTTGTAGACCTCCAGAATCCTCATCAATCCTCGTACCTCCTCAGCCTTTGCCTTATAGAATATCAAAGAATCATTTGCAAAAAAGAGGTGAGACAAACTAGGAGCCCCACGCGTAATATACATCCTAGTCAGTTTCCCCCTTGCATTAGCCTGTGTAATTAGAGAAGAAAAACCCTCAGCACAAACCAAAAACAAATAAGGAGATAAAGGGTCCCCCTGTCTCAATCCCCTAGCTGGTTTAATATACCCCATTTTTTCTCCATTTATATTTACTGCGTAGGTAACACTAGTCACACACCCCATGATCCATTGAATCCACCTAGAACAAAAACCCATTTTTTCCATTGTTCTAGCCAAAAACAGCCATTCAACTCTATCATACGCCTTGGACATATCAAGTTTGATAGCCATATACCCATCTCTCTCAGTCCTTTTGTTTTTAAGAAAATGAATACTTTCATGAGCAATTAAAACATTGTCTAGAATCTGCCTGCCAGGAACAAAGGCAGATTGGAAATGGCTAATACAGCAACTCAACACGCTCTTAAAATGATTAGTAAGCACTTTAGCGATGATCTTATAAAGTACGTTACAAAGGCTGATGGGTCTAAAATCTGTAATTGTACAAGAAGTCTTAGGTATAAGGCAAATCAGGGTCTCATTGATTGATTTAAGAAGGTGACTAGAGTGAAAGAAACTTTGTACATCATCTACCACATCAGATTTAATAATTGGCCAAAATTTTTGAAAAAATATAGGAGACATACCATCATGTCCAGGGGACTTATTCGGTTGCATTGAGAAGACAACCTGGCTTATTTCCTGATCCGTGACTTGCTTGGTCAACTTCTTATTCATTTCAGCTGTGATGGTTTGCGGGATACCTTGAAGTACTTCCTCGAAGTCAATTGGGTTATCTGTAGTAAAGATCTGCTGGAAATAGGCTATAATCTCCTGTCTAGACTCCTCCTTATTCCCACACCACTCCCCACTTCTCTTCCTCAGGATACCAATTCTGTTCATCTTTCTTCTACCCATCACTTTTGCATGGAAAAAGTCGATATTCTTATCCCCTTCCTTCATCCAGGTAACCCGCGCCTTTTGGCTCCAATACACCTCTTCCCTCCTATAGGCAGTAGCGAGCTCTCGTTTCAGATTAGCTAGCTTAATCTTGTATCCATTAATTTTACTCTTCTTAATCTTTCGAATTTCTTCCTTAATCTGATCAATTTGCTTCTTGGAATTACAGTTGCCACCTTTACTCCAACTAAGTAAGTCCATCCTAACTTTTTTAATTTTACATTTCACTCTAAACATCCGGGATCCCATCTGTTCTTCTCACCAAGCTTTCCCAATTACCTCCCCTACTTCCTCCTGCATCAATCATCTTTTATCAAACATAAACCTCCTCTTCCACTTCCTCATCCCAGGCTTAATATCGAGCACTAACATACAATGATCAGATGCCACCATCTCCACATGAGTACATTTTGCTTTTCCAAATTTGCCTACCCAGTCCTTAGTTTCCAGAATCCTATCTAACATTTTCTTCACCTCTCCCCCATTTCCCCAATTATTGCACCAAGTCCGTGGTATCCCGTCATATCCAATGTCCACCAAGTCATTGCTATTGATGAAATGGTTAAAATCCTGAAATCGTATCTCTACCCTTGGATTCCCTCCCCATTTTTCCTCGTTCGATGTGATATCATTCAGATCCCCCATAATTGCCCAAAACCACCCCCACAATGAACCCCTCCTCTTAACAACCTCCCATTGTCCCTTTCTAATTCTTGCGTCAGCGCTAGCATAGGCACATATACACCACCATTCTATCTTGGCCTCACTGTCCTCGATTAGTAACTCAACAGTGAAGCTTGTAAACAATTTTTTTTTCACCTTCAGCTCCTCTTTCCATATAACCACCAATCCCCCAACTCTACCTACTGGGTTAACCACGAACATCTTATCAAATTTAAGTCACCGCTTCACACTGTTCAAATAGCTTTTTTTCTTTTTGGTTTCTGATAAGAACACTAACAATGGAGAGTGGAGTCTAGTGACCTCCCTGAGCTGGGGAACTGTCAAGGGGCTCTCCACACCTCGACAGTTCCACGCCACAACCTTCATTCAGACCTTGAAGCCCCATTTAGGGTGGGCTCCGTCCCCTCAGAGATGTCCATCCACTCGCAACTTCCTAACTCCACTTTGTTTCTCTTCCAGTTCTCCTTCTCTCCATACACCTCATTTCCTGCGCATACAACCACTGCTTTCCGTTTCCCGTCCTTGGTTCCAGCATCTCCCTTGTTAACCTCAACTAGTGGCTTTCTCCTACCCACCTCCACCACCAGTCTTTTCCACGTCCTACTCACTCCCTGCTGTCCTTTTGGTCTACCTTTCTGTTTCCCTCCTACTGAAGCCCCACCCCCTCCCTCTTTTGTCAGACTTCTGCCCCTCCCTCTTTGTGTTCCCTGTGCATCCCCCTTCTCATAATCACCCCCTCGAGCTCCCTCAATCCACATCGAGTCATATTCCTCCCCCTCCTTTCCTTTCTCGCCCCTTCCCTCTTGTTGTTCCCTCTGTGACTTACCTCTTTTATGCCCCTCTGGACCAGGTCCCTCCCCTCCCCCCATCATTTCTATCCCCAACTCCTCTTGTACCTCTCCTCATTCCTTTCCCTCCCCTTCCTCTATCACAGGCTTTCCCAGTTCACTCTTCACCCCCACACCCCTTCGTTCAGTATTTTTTAGCAGCTCCATCTCAGCTTTTTGTTTCCCCTCCTCATCCTTATGAAAATCCATTGTGTTCCCCATTTTGTGTCTTTAATTTGTTCAATTTCCCTACTTCTACATTAGTCCTAGTTGTTGAATTATTAAGAATGGAGTAAATTAGTGGCAATAATTCCCTAAAGGCACTGTGAATATGGATGGTTTAATAGTTATTCAGTAAAGAACTACTTTTGTGGTTTGAAGTTCTCTATTGCTTTTAGATTCATTCATTAATTTTTAAGTAAGGCTTTACAAGTTTAACCAATAGTATTAGTTTATTAAAATTTTAAGATTTTGTAGTACAAAATGTGGAAGTCTCCATAAAGATAATGCAAAATGATCATTTAGTATGCCTTAAGGATAACATTGGCACTTGGATTGTTAGAGAATTTAGCTTATGTGTCTTTATGTCATTTTCATCAATAATGAGTATGGATGGATTGCCTAAAACTTTTTCTGGAGTGTCAATATCATTAGGTGAAATTATTAATTGATAATTATAGGCAATACCTACTTAAAAAGAGGAAAGTCATAAAGTAGATCGATTTTAATCTTTTTTCGCTTAGTCAATTAGACTTTTTCGCCTTATATAAGCAAAGTTTGGGGCTCTCTTTCTCGTAAGTGGAAGGTCTCAAATTTAAAATTTCTTACTTACACTTCTTCCCCCTTACCACTAAACCCATCTCTCCTCCAATTTGGGGCATTCTCTCATTGGTAGCAAACTATAAAAATAAAAATAATAATAATAATTTTTAGATGCTGAAAAGTACCCCTCACATAGACCAAGCCAAAAGTTTTGCTTACGGGAGTGAACAATCGAGATTTTAGAGAACGTAGAAATACAAAACAATGAAGCGAAAATAGTATCACAAATTGTAATTCTAAATTCAAAATACTAAAACGAGTATTTTAATACTACGACGAGCTTAAAATAAAACACTCAAAATCAAACTCTCTACCAGTCTATTCTTTACCAAAGCAAGAGCTATGCGATGAATAATGTTATTTAATTATCACTCACTATGTACGTAGAAAATCATGAGTGGATTTATTTTTTGCATAAAAACTCTTTTAGTAGAAAATCACTCACTAATTGCTTAGAATATGGACGAAAAAAAGATTAATCGGACATCCATGGCTCTGATAGACCCATGGTATGACACAGCTCGGCACCCAAAATTCCAGTCAAACCTTCTGACACCGCTAACAGCCCGGCAGCGGAAAATTTTTTTTTTTTTAAATAAAGTTGTCGGCTGCCGGGCCTGCCGGGCTGACAAGGCCCGGTAGCCGACAATTTCTGCACAAAGCTGGCTGCCGAGCTGAGAGTGCCCGACAGCCAGTCCACTTTTTGAAAAAAAAAAGTCCTAACGTTGAATTTGAGGTTTTCAAAGCCAGAGAATTGGACCCAAAAAAAGGCTGCTTGAATTTAGGCTTGCTTTAGCATCTTGTTTAGCATTCTGTGTGGAGACTTCACTTTTTTGCGCATAATGCAAGGAAGCCAACTCTAGCATGTGAAGACGCAAGGAGGCCAACTCTACCATGTGGAGACGCAATTAATCTTGTATATTCGGGCACTGGAAAGTGGAAAGT